TTTCATTTAAAAATGATTTAAATTATTTAGAGTTTATACCCGGGTATTGATCAGTGAGAATCATTCCAATCCTATCCGCATCTGTTACTTTATTAATCAACTTAACAAAATCATTAGCACTTTGTGTTTTTGAAGTAACAATATAAGCATATCGTGTAAAGTGATCTACTAGAAGGTGTAAATATCTTTTCGTTGATCGTGAACCTCCAAAACCTCCAATCGTGTCGATCGATACTATTTCAAAAGGTTCTGTGGCAGGGCCTAAATGTGACATTAGACCATACTTGTTTTGTCCTCTAGTTTTATTTTTTATACATATCTCACAACTATTGCAGTATTTTTTAATATTTATCGTTAAATTTTTTGCTGTATAAAATGTATTTATTTATTTATTTTGGATTGCATTCGTTTTACACCCAAATGACACATGTTTTCATGAACATTTTTAATCAGATTTAAACTATAATCTTCCGACAAAATAATTTTTTCGCGGTTTTGAAACTTTTTGAAGTAAACCCGGTGTTTTGATATTAATTTAGATTTATTACTTTGTATGTATTCATTGCTGTTTTGATCTGTTATAATATCATTTAAGTTTATCAAGTTTACAATTTTTAATGGTTCATCTGTATCCTCACTTTCATCTAATACAGGATTCCTACTTAAACAATCTGCTTCAATATTCTCTTTTATCGGAGAATATTTAATTTTAAAGTCATACTGTGATAAATAGTATGTTAAATCACCTAATTCGTCATCTGTCCTTGACCTAATGTTTAAACCTCTAAACCAATTATTGATTTTGTGGAGCCTAGTAGCAGGTAAAATAAAATTGTTTTTATTTCTAGTATTATGTGTATATATTTCACTATTTTTAGTAAATAAATTAATATTTTTTTTACAAACACTAAGTTGTCATATATGTATTGTGATGCACCTGTCAATATGCCTATTTCTTTAAATTTATTTCTTAATGAATCCTTAACTTCAAGATTATAAATTGATCAAATAGCCCTCTTCTGCAGCACAAATATAGTTTGAATGTCGGCGGCATTTCCCCACAGTAAAATACCGTAGGACATTACACTATGAAAATAACTAAAGTAGACTAATCTGGCAGTTTCTATATCCGTTAACTAAGTCTCTTCGAGAATCCATCAATATGTGGGCCCCACAGTACAGTTTGTCTATAAAGTCGTGACATGAATGTTTGAGGAACTAACATTATTCATGTGTCTGGCAACACCAAAGTTATGTACATCAGCTGTCATCGAGTTTCAGTTGTGGACAGTGTTGCCAGGTCTCCAGATTTTACAGGAGATCTCCTGTTTTTCTGAAATTTCTCTTGTTCTACTGTTTTTCTTCTACATGAATCTCCTGTTTTTCTTAGAATACAATTTTCTTTTTTAAATTGCATGTTGAGTTGCATTTTCGGCCATTAACTCTGTAGGTAACCTTATTAATTTTAAAATAAATGTTATTGTATAAAAAAAAACAGCGGGGGCGGTACAAGCCACAGAAACATATTCGTTACAGGTCTTTATCTTGATTTGATTTACCAATATTCTGGGGGGGGGGGGGGGGAGGTGCAGTACGCCTCTGGATCTACTGTTTTTCTTGTAGCTCTTTCCATACATCTACTGTTTTTTTCTATAACGCCTCCCGATTTTTGTAAATCGGACCTAGCAACACTGGTTGTGGAACAGTTTTCCTTTGTTTGAATTAAACTGTAATAAATTAAGACGAAACTACGCAGAAAGGTATAAAAATGAGTAAAGTAAATCGAAGTGGCACGCGGGAAGTGATTTTTAAAGTTTTCCAGCGATGTTTCGAAGACTACCAAGCTGGACGAATTTTGTGGGATTTGGATGATGTTTAGGCTCAGCTTTCCATTATATGTAATTGAGTTGCAAGCTGAAATTTTTGTCACGCAAAGTGTTAACTATTAAAAACACGTACACGAAATCTTTTTAGGCGGAAACGAATAGAACTCGAAAAAAAAATTATTGAAAATTAATATTTTTGTAGGTTATGAGTCAATTTTGACAGCAATTTTGATCAGTGCTGCCATTTTTTTATGCAAAAATAACATGTTTCTCGTTGTCTATGGTAAATATAAGTTTATTATGTTGGTACTATTGTCAAAATGTGACAATTTACCGCCATTAATGAGATCTGTCAGTCAGTGTTTGTGCAATGCTTGGCTAAACTTTTTATAAGCCCCTAGTACCTACTATATATAAAACAGAAACAAAATACGACTGTATAGTGTGTCTTATTAATTACCTATTTTACTTGAATGAACTGCTAGTATCAAAATCATTTTGGTCTGACTGTATAGGGTTGCTACTTGCATACTAGTGGCGCCATCATTTAATGTCACGACTTTATAGACAAATTGTAGCTTAGAATCTAGTGTGATTCCTAAGAACACTGTGGTATCTACAGGGCTCATATGTCGATCCTTTATATTTACATTGGTTTTTACCTGTTTGACATTAGGTAATACAAATTTCAAACACTTAGTTTTCCCTTCATTTAGCATCAAATTATTAACATTGAACCAGTGGACTACCTTGGAAATAGACCTGTTCACGTCGTCAATATATGACTGCCTACGTTTAATTAAAAAAAATGGATGCGTGTAACTTATGTACGCGCGTGAGAAGTTATACTTCTTTAGCATCATTAAAATATTTTTTAATTGCATGCAAATAATTAATAATTACAATAAAATAATAAGAGGACTGGAAAAGGATAGTTAACACAGTCAATTAAGTTCAGTTTTAATTTGAAAAATTAAATAAATATTCAAAATATCCAATTAAAATCACTACTGAATTTAAGTTATTAGTCCATATGTAATTAGCACTTGTAAGTAACTAAAACACGTTGTGTTCTTGACCTTCACAAGTGCTTGTAACAGCCTAGACTGAATAAATGTCATTTCATTTCATTTCATTTCAATGTCCCGTTCAAATCTGCCCTGTTTGCTTTGTTCAAATCTGCCCCACGGTCACTTGGAAAATAAAATATTACAAATAACGCGCCCGCGGCTAACTTCATTATGTTAAAATTTTGTGTTACAGTGATACTCTGTAAATAATAAAACAGGGAGAAAAAAACAGCCCTTGCTGAGTTTCTTGCCGGTTCTTCTCAGTACAAGGTCTCCCGAAACGAACCGATGGCGTAGCTTCTAGACATTCATATGTGCTTGTAACAGCCTAAACTGAATAAATGATTTTGATTGATTGATTGATTGATGAAAATTTCACTGTCATAATTTTTTCACAACTTTAAAGAAGTATAACTTCAAAAAAGTGAATTGTCATCCGCAAACAATACTATTTCGTGGTCATCCTTTACAAAATAGGGCAAGTCATTGATATAAATTAAAAACAAGAAAGGACCAAGGATTGAGCCCTGCGGAACTCCCATCTTAACCGACGAACCAGGAGATTTTACTCCATTGATGTCAACCCTCTGAACCCTATCACTCAAATAAGATTCAATAAGATCCAGAGCGGTATTTCTAAATCCATAGTGGTGAAGTTTCCTGATCAATGAAAAACGCAATCAAAAGCCTTTGATAAGTCGCAAAATACACCTAATGCATCCCGCGAGTTCTCCCAGGCATCAAAAATTTGCTGTACAAGCTCAACACCGGCATCGGTTGTTGAGCGACCCCTTGTGAAATAAATTTGTTTACTATGAAGAATGTTATTACCATAGATGAATGATTAGTCTCGCTTCAGTCGAGTGAAGCGAGACCAATCATTTATCTATGGTTATTACTATAAAAATATGATTGCATTTGATCTAGCATAATCTTTTCAAAAATCTTACTAAAGGTGGATTACACTGATATAGGTCTAAAGTTTGTGGGGTCAGATGTGCTACCCGATTTATGTAATGGAGTTATGTTACTGTGTTTCATTAGATCAGGAAAAACTCCACAGTCAACACATTGATTAAAAATGCTAGCCAGAATAGGAGCTATTGTCTCAATTACTGATCTAGAAACATTAACGGAGTTACCCCACAGATCCGCAGTTTTCTTTTTATAAATATAATTGGTTGAAAGATTTTATTACATCTTAAATTCACTCAATTTAAACATATTTAAATTTAAATTGACTAGTACATTGTTTTGTGTGTTCTTTTAATATTGATTCAGCAGCAATGGGGGGGGGGGGGGATCTCAAAGATTTTGTTTTTATTTACATCGATTAAAACCTTATAGCATAAAATATAGTGCGATTCAAATAAGAATAGGAAAGCCCTATGAATAAAATAAAGAATATGCTCTAAACCTAAACCAGATGTAGAGTATGCTGAGGACCAATAATGGACACATAATTACTTACTATTATCACTGTATTCATTTGTTTCTACCTTTTTTATGATTTCTCTCACAAGTATATCCTTTATAATGTGGCGAAAACAAATACATTTTGGTGCCACGCCCATCACAAAAATATTTTTATCCGAAAACCGAATAGTGTTATCATTTTGTAAGCATATAACAACGTTGTCTGTATGATGAACTGATGAGAAACCATGCACACGAAATACGATACGACACTCTTGCCTCTCTCGATATTTGCAACTTAAAGAGATATTTTTTAATAAAACTCACCTTTACTGTTTTAATGTTTAATGAATAACTAAAAATACAGTCACTTTATTGTTTGGTGATATTTATCAATTTATAATAGCTGCACGTGACTTACCTTTCAGGAACATACCTCAAATTCACGTTGTAGTAAAAAGCGATCAATCTTTAATAAATGCTATTCCGATCAAGTGGACGTGAGAACTCTATTGTTATGTTCACAGAAGCTTATCAAAAAATCCAAATCCGTACTGAACATTCCTCGAAACATTGGAACTAATTTATATACCGACATTCTAATAAATAAAAAAAAGTATAAAAAAAACTTAAGACTAGGCTGCATGGGTCATATTCCCTTTGCCTTCCCTGAAAATGGAGAATCTTAAAAAAAACATGATACTTCATATTCAACAAAACAATTTTGTAAAAGAAAACTTAAAACAATTCGAATGTTTTGGAATTGGATATCCTGTCTAGAATGTAGTTCTATGTTTAATGTTACTAAGAACAAATATTAAAGAAACTCTACCGATTCCATTTGGTATTTGCTTACAATAATAAAGTGTAGTTAAAGTTTTAACTTTCCTTTTTGTTTCTCCCTGTCTTTCCCAACAGCCTTAGATCCTTGTACTTACACTAAGGCCTTACACAGCCTAAGCACAGTTACAAACAATAGACAAGCTCGTACCAGACAAACCTACAAGTTACTTTGGGCATATACACCTTAATTGTTTTAATCTAAGATATACACTGGACATTGGCTAAATCTCGAAGAAGAAGAAAAAGAAGAATCACAGAAGAAATCTAATCGATATGGGCAGGACTTACAGATAGGATTTCGGGATACATTAGGGGATTTAAAAAAAATATATATTTCTGAGAAAACAAGGGACTTTAAATTTCCCCAATCTGTTGCAATCAAACCTAATAGAATAGAGAAAATGTCGAACAAAAAGGTAGATTTCTTTTGAAGCTGTTATTGTTTTGCCACAGAAATGTCCTTTATTTAAATGATAACTAATTACTGTTTACAGGAGAGAATGTGGTTTAAACCAACATTTGATTTTGATCAATGTGATCCACCCAAGAAATCAAAAGAACAAGCTATAAGTACCAGTGTATCAACTACTGTTTCTACAGACAAAGTAATTAACTAATCTTCTAATTATAAAAAGCTATAAATACAAGCCTATGTAAGTTTATGGTTCCTGCTATGTGAAGTAAAATTTTATATTATTTTTCAGGAAAGCATTCACTCAAAAATAAATAACATTAACAATATACATCACAAAAGTTGGATGAAAAAGTTTGATCCAGTGACAGTGCAAGATTTGGCAATACATAATAAAAAAGTTCAAGATGTTGAAGAATGGATTAATGACTCTTGTAGTAGTAATCACAGTCATATGTTGTTGTTGACTGGTCCTGTTGGTTGTGGCAAAACAGCCACAATTCATATGTTAGCAAAAAAACACAATATAAAAGTTACAGAATGGATAACACCAATTGACATTGAAATACCTTCTGAAAATGGTAAGCTAAGTTTTTGTTTTAAAAATCTACCACTTTAACTTATTACCTAATATATTTTTATATTAGTCAATAATATTTAATGATGTAATTGTTAGTTATCTATCATTTAGTTTTCCCTGACAGGTGAATTTGAGTTTCGGGAAAAACAGTCTACAAAATTTATGGATTTCATTTTAAAAGCTGCTAATTTTACCTCGCTATTAGATGATAATACTAAGAAATTAGTTTTGGTTGAGGACTTTCCCAATACCTTTCTAAGATCACCTTCCGAATTCACTGAAGTCTTGCAGTAAGTTATGCACATTATGTACCTAGTGTTAAAAGTCTGGATTATAATACAGTGGATTTCATATATTATGAACTTGGTTGTAGCGACCATTTACCGATTTTGCGACGTTAAATCTAAGTCCCTTAAATTTAAAGCATACTATAGTACAAAATTCATGTCTGTATCTCTTAACCTTTGCCTCTAACGACTTCCGATATATCCTATATGATATTACGACGAAAATAGAGTGGTCCTTCATTGTTGTTATACCTGAAATCCACCACTGTATTTAGAGCGCAATATTTTTTAAGAGATGTTTCATTTTACATAATTACTTCTGTTTGGTTTTTTACACATATACAAAACAACATTTCATAAATCAATAAATAGTGTATGAAGTTTATATTGTATTCTATGTTTCAAACTTTTATTAGTATTTACTACAAATATTGCAGTCTAATAAATAAATTCAATGCCTTTTGTGCTGACATCAATTTTCCAGTCAATACAAAAGGAGAGCAAAATCACCAGTGGTCTTCATATGTTCTGATACTCATACAGATAGTAAAAATACGGCAGGCAGTTTGTTTACATTCAGTCTTCAGGAGGAGTTTGAAATTCATCATATTGTGTAAGAACTTTAAATACTTTCTTGTAGACTTAGGCCCGTAATAATAGATCACTCTCACTCTGTCAACTCTGAGACTATGACCTTAGGATACTGTTCTTATACAAAACAGCATCTCAAGATCGCACTCAAAGCTGAGAGATCTATTAATATGGGCCTAAGAGCCAGTTGCATCATGTTTCTTTACAGTCAAATTTGATTTAATAACTTTAATCTGTGCTTTGATTGAGAGGGCTTGTTTCATCATAATCATTGTCACAAAATTTATTTTTCAGTATTGTTTTTGCTTTCAGATTTAACAGTGTTTCAGTGACAGGTCTACGTTCAGCTCTAAAGAGAGTTTCTGAGTTAATCAGTAAGAAATATATATCATTTTATGACATACCAACATCAGACATGATAGAATGTGTTGTAAATTCTTCAGCAGGTGATATTAGATCAGCTGTTTTGAACTTACATTTTGCATGTTTGAAAGGTAAACAAAAATAAGTTAATATGAATTTGGTCAAATACTTAGTTCATAAGAAATATTTTATAGTTAACTATTTATTATTTCTAGGCAGTAAATGTGATTTAGAGACAAGTTCTGTAATTATAAAAGAAACAAAATCCAAAGCATCTAAAAAGAAGAAACAAACATCTAGCAAGTTTCTATCACTAGGTAAAGATCAAACTGTCAGCATTTTGCATGGGGTTGGCAGAGTTTTAAATCCTAAAGGTAAGAATAAGTACTTACATAGATGTGAATGACTCATTGAAAATGCGTTTAATTAAAATTTTTGTAAAACTTGTTTTAATTTAAATGACACTAGTCTTGTAGTATTTATAATAGAACTTTGAATTGTTATAGTTGAACAAAGAGAGCTTCCCTTTCATGGTCTCAGATCAAATAAAAGATTTCCTTTTTCATTCGATCTAAGTTCATGTTCACAAATTTTATTAAATATAGATTTCCTTCAAATTTCAGTGTAATTTTTACTTTTTAATCTATGTAAATTCTTTTATTTATTTTCAAGTTATTTATTATGATTTCTCGTTCTATTTTCAGTAATAATGGATAATAACTGCCAAAGACTTTCTTACGCCCCAAGTGATGTAATAGAACAATTTCTAAGCCATCCAAGCTCTTTTGTAAACTTTTTAGCAGAAAATTACCTTCCACACTTCTCTTCAATTGACCATGTAGATAAGGCCGCGAGTGCATTAAGTGATGCAGATTTTATGTTAGCAGAATGGAGGGTACGAGTTTTATTTTATAAGATTTTAGTAAAAAAAAACAGGGTAACGATTCTGCTATCTAAAGCCGAACCGGAACTGGAAAATGCGAGTCGGACTTGCCCACCGACCGTTTATGCCGTAAATGAAGTTATAGTCAAGTACAAAAATATCTTGGCTAAGCAAATGATTCAAAAACTTGGCATTATAATGTTCTTTAAGTTTTTTAGGACATCAATTGTATAATTTATTGAAGGCAAAGTGAGCAGAATTTTATGGGCTTATGGCCAATATATTTTGGATGTTTGATTGAACATGCTCATATCATAATATTAACTAGGGATCTCAAATGTACATACAATAACATCGAGACGAACATAGCTAAGTTGAGTTTTCCAAATTGCGATCGGAACCGAGACTTCGGCATTGATGCTCAATTAATTGATATGTTAAGCGAGAATTGCGAAAAACTACTTCTACTTACTACATATAAGCCCATTTTTGTAAACCAAAGATCACAAACAAAGATGCTCCAGACTTTTATTTTACTTGCGATGTGAATTCATATACAGGCCATACCGGGTACGATAAGTGGTTAGCTTCGCTACGTTCATGCCTCTACCATATCTTTTCTAACTTAAATTAAAAATTATTGGTGTTATATTACCTTTTTATTTTACGTCAACAAACCCACTTCACTTAACGTACGATTCGCCGACCCGTGTAAAGAAATACGTAGTACGACTTGCGTAATACCACCGCGCGATTATTCTTGCTTGTGATCTTGAGGTCGCATCTAAGTTATATATTTGACATGGCTTTCACTATTTTTAAAATTGCTTTCACTTTCAGGAAAAAATATGTCAAGAAAATGGATTATATGTAGCGGTTGCGGGTTTAATGCTTTCAAATAAGGCACCTGTTTCGGCATGGAATCCAGTAAGAGGACCAAAGAATATGAAAATCATATATCCGTACGTATGGGACCATCTCGCTAAGAAACTCTTTCAAACAAAAAAGAATCATCAAAATCAGACCGATTTTCACGATGTGTGAACAACAATGAAAAAAAAAAATGTTTACCATCTTTTTGAAGTGGGTTAAAACCAATCAATTTTATGCAACTACTAATGATAAACCTAAAGAAAATATAACTAGAAAAAAAATTCACGCGGACCAGGCAGCAGACGGGACCCGAACCCGCACCCCTCGCAATCCGGGCGAATGCACTGACCAATTATGCTACCGTGGCCCTCACGGACCGCGTTGAAATTCTTCTAGCCATTCTTAAGTTGCAAGGCAGCGCCATCTCTTCGCATTATAGGTAACCCACAATGTCAAATGGCTAGAAGAATTTCGACGCGGTCTGTGAGGGCGGCTGCGGTAGCATAATTGGTCAGTGCATTCGCCCGGATTGCGAGGGGTTTCGGGTTCGGGTCCCGTCTGCTGCCTGGTCCCCGTGATTTTTTTCTTTAAAAATAATATACTAATGATATTTTTTTTTGTTTCAGATCACCACGCGAGTTTCCTGCTTTAGATCAAAACTATTTACACAAAGGGAGAGTCTTAGCCATAGATTACAAGACTTATCTTCATATTATTGGTAGTAATGTATAATGTTTTCGTAGTTTATTTATGTTTAATATATTCTTAATAAAATATAAACCGTTTTATTGAAACTATTTATCAGTTAATACCTTCGACTTCTGTATGCTGAGCTATGTTTCATCACATCACAAAATTATAGTGGTCATTATTAAGGGAAGAAAACTAACACGAGAGTTTAAATTTATTTTAATCCATAACATAAAAATATTATTTATTGGTTATATATAAATAGTTTGAAATACAGAATAAAAACTTTACAGAACGCCACAGTAAAATAACACTACTTTTAGGTGGTGTTTGTTTCTATCGGTGAGTAAGATTCCAGAGCTCCACGGGGTAGGATTGGATCAGGTTAGGCAACAGCGTGTCATATTTTTGTAACGCAAGCGTTTATGGGCTATGTCGGCCGATTACCATCAGGCAGGCAATATGCTTGTTAACATAAAAAATAGTTAAAAACTTGAGCAGAACTTGCGACTTTGTTTAAAATGTACTCGAAATACAACGATATTAAATACTCTAGATACACCACGTGCGCTCAAAATGTATCCCAATCAAGAAGTGCTTGAACACCACTCAAGCACTTCTTGGTTCATAGTCAAGCGCGGACTGTTGAAAAGTCAAGATGCCGCAGAGCTCCGTGAAAAAATGCAAAAAAAAACTACTCCACTCCATATTTAAAAATGAGTAAAATTCGAAAAAGTTAAGTATTTGGGTAAAGTGGCGTTTTTACGACAGGTATCTAATCAATGTTTCTTAATTTAACGCATTTGAAGCAAAATTTATGCTAATACTTACTATAAACTGATTTAATAGAAAATATTTGATATTCAAATGCATGGTAGGTAATATGGACGTCTCTTTTCTTCGCGGTCCGTACCTGCTATTTTGCTATAGCGCATTCAGAACTGCGTGTAGAGATAAAGAAATAAGGTCTATATTCTTCCGCATATAGCAATGTCGTAAAATTTTACGAGCTTGCATTTTGAACTGTCATAACTCTTTGACTCATGCGTTTTAATTAAGACCTTATACAGAATGCATTTAAAGTGACTTCAAATGTTTAAATAATGCCTTATATTGTATTTAAGTACGCGATCATCTTACGGAGCTCCGTGGATCATCCAATGTAAGTCAGGTACATTTTGGTCAGGTTTCGGCCACGATTTTGTTTGTGATGTTGTATCTAGGGTATTTAATATAGTTATTGAATTATGCTAATTATAAATCAGAGATTTTGAGAAACTTGTTTTCTAGCCTCAATTACACGTTATTTACTTACACTCCAGTTTACCCTTTAGCGTGTCCTCCTCGGGTCGTCATCAATTGGTGTCAGTCACAGAACAGAAAAAAAAAATAGTAAAAGTAGCATCATATCGTTTCAGTACCAGAACCAATGTAACCAAAACACACACATTAAGGGCGCCGGGACCGCGAACGCTCGACAACAGGGGGCCAATCGCCTAACGGAAATGCTTTGGGAAACGCTAACGCTTACGATTTTATATTGTTATTTCTAGCCGCCTGAGGTTTTCGAATACCTCACGCTCATTTTTTTTAATATTGTTATTACCAATGCAAAAGAAATAACAATATTAAAAAAAATGAGAGAGAGATTAAAGCGTCGACACGACATGACTGCATGTCGTGTCGTGTCGACGCTTTAATCTCTCTCTCTCTAACCATAGTAAATGTATGAAACCGATGTGCTTCTGGCGCGACACGACACGTTAATATGTTTCTGGCTTTAATCTTGTTAAATAATTTTGTTTTGATAATGCAGTGCCATTATCTTACCAAGGTGCAAACGTTTAAAAGGACAAATTGAAAAATTACGATTTAGCAGAGCAAAGATAGATAGTGTCAAATCGATTAAGCTAACGACCATTAACGAATGACCGACTTTATTTTCTTGGACTTGACTGACGGAGCTAGACGGAATGGACGAGCGTATTTATTTTTTTAAGTGGGCTTTCGACTTAGGGGTGTAAGGCCCGTATTACAGAATGAAAACCAAGTGTTGTTTTTTACTTGAGTACAGTTAGACGACCTCCGCGGCCGAGTGGTTCGTACGCCGGGTTTCATGGTGTCGCCGACTCGAGAGGTCCCGGGGTCGAATCCCGGTGGGGGCGGATGTTTGTGTGATAAATACGAGCATTTGTACTCCAGTCATGGATGTTTGATATGTATTTCTATATAAAAATATATTTATATATGTACAGCATATTAGTATAAGAGCTGGCAACGTTTTCGAGAATGAATTTTAGGTCGGCTAATTTTTGTATAATTCCCATTCTTATTGACAGTAGGTTGGGATGCGGTACGTCTGGCACCTGGAAGCGGTTGCGTTCAGTTGTGCGCATCCCACCTGTAAAGGTAAAAATTGTACATTTTAAAATCATTTTAAGACATTTTTTTTTGTTTTTATAAATTTCATATGCCTCGTTAGCAATATAAAACCATAATTGCCAGACACTTTTGTCGTTGCTAACATTGCCCCAGACACAATTTCAATAATTAAAAAATAATTATTTTTAAACAATTTTAGTATGTCTGTAATTTTGATATAATGTAGTTCAGCAATAAAGAAATATGATAAAAATTTACCAGACAGAAATTCTGTTGCTTAATGAAAATTTAAATTAATTTAAGTTTCGGGGAGAATAGGTGAGTTAGAAGAGTGCGGAAACTAATTCGTCGGTTGTGTGAGAGAGATAGCTGTGACAGAGAGCGGTAGAGGGAGAGAAGTATAGCCACAGCTGCTATTTTCAACATGGCGTCGCCTACACGAGTGTAAACTCTTGTATTTTGTTGTCTCGTGTTTTTTAATAGAAAAAAATAATTTTTTCGTCATGGCTAACGAAAAAGAAAAATGTGTTTTTTGCTCAGATCAAAGTGGTAAAATAATAATATTTAACGAAGAAAAATTGAAAAAGTGTGCAGAAATTTTAAATGCTCGTATTAAGTTCAACCTAAAATATAAAAATGTGAAGTTACCGGACAATGTGAATGCTACTGTTGGATACCATAGACATTGTTATAGAACTTTTACATCATTGATGTCTAAATATCGTAATGAATGTGTATCTAACTTTTCATCGATTACTGATGTTCCTAGTACATCTTGTACTAGCTTATCACAGTCATGATAATGATGATATGAATATTGATGACAACAATAGCAGTGACGAAGATGATCTTGACGCCGAAGAATTTGGATGTCAAGAAATTATTAATTAAAAATAATAATAATAATTACTCATCTTTAATGTATTTCATGTTTTTTAATTTGTATATCCTACCCAATTCTCAGCTATTTACAATAAAAAAAAAAAATATTTTTCTGATATGTTTTATCAATTTTTGCTATCTCATTTTAGTTTATTTATTATTCCATTCAATTAGTGTAGAAGTTCTAACCTATATACATAGAAATATTTTTTATTTCGACATTTATCACATATCTAGTGGAAAACTTCCTCCGAAATTTTTACAAAATTATTCAAAATGCTTAAAAAAATCTTTTTTTACCTATTCATTACGCTTTTTGAGAAACTCATAATTTATCAAAATAATTTATAAATCATTCCAAAATTTTCTGAAGAATATCATAATTTTTTACTGCTGGAGATTTCTCCGAATCCATTGGTGCAATCCATTGCTTGTCGTGAACTAAATAAAATTTTCGTCATAATAGTAATATTTTCAAGTAAAATCATTCAATTATGATTTGTCCATTTTTGGAAATATGTGCACGATAAATACTCAAGGAATCTAAAGTTCAATATAACTGCAGTAAGCACATCGAAGCTCGGAAAATACGGGAGAAAATCGTATTCCCATTTTTTCGGAGATAACCCATTTTTTCTCTCAATTGCCTCAAAAAGTGTAAAAAAATGGAAATATTCGGAAGATTCGGAGAAATTTTGGAGAAGAATTTCCACAAGGGATACGAATTCTACCCACTCTGAGCACCGCACTCTTATAATTAACCTATTCTCTCCGAAACTTAAATTGACTTGAATTCTTATTAAGTAACGGAATTTCTGTCTGACTAATTTTTCTCATATTTTTTTATTGCTGAACTGAACATTATATCAAAGTTAAAGACATACTAAAATTGTTTAAAAATGATTATTTTTTAATTTTTGAAATTGTGTCTGGGGCAAGGTTAGCAACGACAAAAACGTCTGGCAATTATAAATTTATATTGCTCACGAGACACATAAAATTTCTAAAAAAAAAATTGTCTTAAAATGATTTAAAAATGCACAATTTTTACCTGTACAGGTGGGATGCGCGCAACTGAATAGTCCAGTCGGAATAGCCATAATTTGGACCGACTTCTATTCTAAGACACCAGCGCTTAGCCAATTTTTTCCTAGATAGTATAGACGCCCACGAATATGCCCTCCATTTGTCCCCGCTAGAACCCGTGTTTTGTAGCCAGGAAAATTGTTTAGTATATTCGAGTTGAGGAGAGAAAAATACATTAGTTTAAAAAAAAACATTATTCTACGTCAATTTTTAAAAAAAATTTAAAACGTCCAAAAACGAACATTTTTATTAACGATTTTTTCTACTCGATCGATTCCTCAAAATTCTTGGTGAATCGAATCACCTGAATTTTTTTCCCCGCTGTGCGCCTTCTGGGAAAGACGGGACAGGCAAGTACTTTTTTTCGGAGATTGAGAATTGTTGCTAAAGTTTGCGACACAGGTCGATAAATTTTACATGACTCTCTTGGGAGTGGCGTTACCCACATGATAAACTACTTTAGAAATCAAAATGTTTATTATAACATGTTGAATTGTTGCAAACGTAAAACCGACATAATTGCAATTTACTACTAAACTAACAATCTCACGTTATTTTTTCATAGAACTGATTTTGTAGAGGGCAAGCTAATGAACAACTTTGATTCAAAAAAATTTTTAAAATCCCCGTTTACAAGCAAAAAAACCGGTTTTTCTTTGTTTAAACAATTTTCCTGGCTACAAAACACGGGTTCTAGCGGGGACAAATGGAGGGCATATTCGTGGGCGTCTATACTATCTAGGAA